AAGGGAGAAAAGGCAAGGTCTGAGTCGGTATCATAAGACATTTCAAAGAACTGATGAAAAGAGATGAGCCCCTGGTACAGGGTGCACATCACAGGTCAAGCAGGACAAAATGAGTGGAAATCCACACCTGGTTTGTAATAAAACTCCTGAACACTAAAGACAAAGAAAAGGTCTTAAAGCCACCCAGAGAGAAAGGACAGACAGATCACCTTCAAAGCCAGGATGACAGCCAACTTCTCAACAGCAATAATAAACATCAGAGTTCTGAGAGAAAACACTCCCTGGCCTGACTTGTACCCAAAAGCAGGAAAAGGAATCCTAGCCACACGGGAGGCCTGAACAACACTGTCAACAATCTTGAATTCATGGGTGTTCGTCACACTCTACTCAACAATCACAGAACACACGTTCTCCTCCAGCAAAACCAGAACCCTGACAAAATCTCAGTAGGTGGGAGGTGGGAGGTGCTGAAACAGGTCTAAACAAAGTTTGAACAACTAGTATCAAATGAACCACAGTCTCTAACCACAATTCAAAATTATTTTAGAAATGAACCAAATGGGATACATGTTTAAATCACCTTATGACAACTTCCATTTCTACCAAAACAGTGGACCAAATGTCCTGACAAGGCTGCTCACTGAAAACAACTAAAAGTGCTGAATAAAACTTTTTTTTTTTTTAATCTTCTGGAATGCTTCTATGAGCTGGATGACAAACAAACAAAACAATATCCAAACCCTAGTCAGGCCGCTGAGGGAATGCAGAGGGCTCAGGGAAAATCTCAGGTCAGCTTCTACCCTAGGCCAGAACCAAACACACACTCACTGTGAAATGTGACAACTTGCAAGGGGAAGTAAGGAAGGGGATGATGGACACACAGGACCAGGTTTGCCTGCATGGTGTGAAAGGGTGGGGGCGGGGAGATGTGACAGGAACAGGGGACCAGGAGACATCAGGCATGTTCTCTTCATTTGGGCCATAGGATCACAGGCACTCACGCTAGTACTAAGTATCACACCGCACAAAAACATACATGTACTGGGTGTTACCAAACTAAACAATTAAAAAGAATCAAGGTCATCAAATTCTGGGCCCCTTAAAAATGGATCCATTTAGCTTAGAATTCAGTGAAAATATACATATGCATATATGTATACATCTTACATATTTTCATCAAATAGTAAAGATCTTAAAAATTACAGAATGGCTATCATTTAACTCTGAGGCTTCTATTAAATAACTTATCCCTGAACTCAGTGAAAATTTCCACACTCAAGTTCTTACAAAATATCTCCGTTTCATTCACATTTAAACAGGCCTTGGGGGGCGCCTGGGTGGCTCAGATGGTTAAGCGTCTGCCTTCGACTCAGGTCATGATCCCAGGGTCCTGGGATCAAGCCCCACATCGGGCTCCTGGCTCAGCGGGGAGCCTGCTTCTCCCTCTCCCTCTGCCTCTCTCCCTGCTCATGCTCTCTCTCTCTGTGTATCTCTGCGTCTCAAATGAATAAATAAAATCTTTAAAAAAAAAAAAAAATAAATAAAATAAAATAAACAGGCCTCGGCTATAAATAGCTGCTGAAAGGCCAAATTTTTGCTATAAATAGCTGCTGAAAGGCCAAATTTTTACTTACGCCGTGTGCGCACGTGTGCGCGCGCATGTTTAAACAGGAGGAAGTTCTGAATTCCTAGCTGATTTTTCAACAATGTTAGTATTAAGCCCATTTCCTGCCTGCACAGGTGAACATATGGATCACCCATAATAGTTCCAGAATTTCCACATGTGCAACAGGACAGATTCTGCACTGGAAGGTTAGCACAAGAAGCTGAATAAATATATAAATATCTGTCAAAACAGTAATGCAAAAATCATACTATTTTCAAAACTTTGTTAGATCAGGGTAAAAATAAAAATCATACATCTTCTCACATAAATGGAATTACATTATATATGTTCTATACATGGCCTGTTTTAAACACCAGCATTTAACATAATGCCTTCCATGTGTACAGAGTTGTACCTCTCTCGTCAGGATGGGTGAATACATTTGAAACTCAGCAGAATTTATTTAACCAACCTTTTACTGACCCTATTGACACAATCTTCCAATTTCCCTTCTGTTAACAGGTGCACTGTTCCTATGAGCATCCTGTACATACATATGCATGTAGATCTTACCTCTTTAGAGTAAACCCCTGGAAGTAGAATTCTTAGTTTGAATATTAAATTGCCAATATTCAACTATTTTTCCGTACCAAACTGCCAACAGTGCCACATACTAACCTGAAGGATACGAATATACTCATGGCTCCTAGTATAGCTGCCAACTCACTGGTTGTGACGACAATAGTCCTCCCGCCCTGCCCGCTCCTCTCTATGGTTTGCACACACCTTTACCTCCCTGTCTCCTGTCCCTGGGACACGGGTATGGATCAGCCATCGACATGGGCAAGGGGCAGTATCATGACTGCACCTGTATTTCTTTTAAAATACAGGTACTTGGTAGAATACTATAAAATCACACACAAAATGAAAGCAATTATTAGGATAAAGATACTTTAAGTGATGCTTTAGAATATTTTCAGGACTTCCTAAAAATGTGCCATATGACTTCACAACTATAAAAGATTAAAAAGGGTCAGGTTGAGAAAGAGAAAGTGCAGGAACAGGAGAAAGCAGAGGGTGGGGTGGAGGCGCACAGGAAGGAGAGGGACATGTCCTATCCTAGAAGGTGCCGCTCACACTTGTGTCGTGACCTGCAGGTGGTAAATGCTGAATCCTCAGGAGCCTGGCGCTGCCTGAACGTCAAATAATGACGGGGTACGTGTATGGGGGACAATTCCACCTCATTTATCGGGATAGGTAATACACCTATTTTAGTAGATGAGACCTGTAGGCGCAGGGAGACTCACAAAGCTGTTACACGCAGTGAGCACACGACAGTATGTGCGCTCCCTCTCAGGTCCCATAAAGACTTCAACAGAATGACACAGGCTGCAGTGAGAGATGTCCTAGGAGTAAGAGAAAACTGGGGCCAGACCAGCACATACTTTTAGTCAGAGACAGAAGCAAGGTCTCGTCAAAGGAAAAACTAGGACAGCTGGCAGCAGCGTAGAAGGAACAAGAACGCGGCTGACTGCGAGGTCAGCCTACGAGTTATGAAAGGGAGGGACTGCAAGCTAATGAACCCTGTATTGTGAATTCCAGAAATCTGTGTCACTAAATAGTCATAGAATTCCTCGGGGGGTGGATTTTTTTCAAAGAAATTATGCCAAAAGTGATAAAGATTATTTATGAGAGAGAGAAACCCAAGGCAAACGTATAAGTTAACTAAATTCTCTTGTCACCTCCTTCACTCAAACACAAGGCTCATCAGACGGCTACGGAGGAGCTGGGAAAACACATACGAGGAGCAGTTTGTAAACTGGAAATCATCTCTGCAGTATGAGTGGGCCCCCAGCAATCTCAACTGGGATCTAAACATGACTTTTCTCTTTCCATTTTGCCAAACGTAAACTCCCCCTCCCATGCAACTCTGTATCGAGGTAAACCTCCCAAGTTCCTGTCTGGCCCCATACCTCACACTTCACATTTCCGATGGCACAAGAAAACAGACCCAATATCTGGAAACAGCATCCTTGGCTTCCTGCTCTCACAGCTTGGATCTTATAGGCAGGAATATCCAGTTTTGTCACATCGGGAAATAAAATGACCTACCTTCTTACCGCCTTCCTCCTGAAGTTAGCCTACCTCTTCTCCTTCCCAACACTAGGCACCTGGACTGATGCAATCCACCTCTTTATTTTCATGTCCATTTGGATAAGTCTCACAGCCCTATCAAATCCACCCACTAAATGTGCTTTAATTAGACCTTTAGCTCCCCCATTTCTTGCCTACGTGGCTGGAGGGCCTCCTAACTTGCTTGCAGCCTTCTGAAGACCCATCTAGTCCATGACAGATGCTGCCATCACATCAGTGTGGTCTTATTTCACAACGACAAAAATTCTCATCAAGACATTTCACTAACTACATTCCTTAAATAGTTCTCCTTACTCTTTACTCTGCAGGAGAAAACCTACAACCTTCCCTTTTCATGATGTGGGCTCTATCTCCTCTCCTGTTTCTTCTCAGAACTTTTTAGCTCAGGTTTAAACGCACCATGTTTCCTAAAGTACATCTCTTCTTCATCTACAAAGCTGGAGACTCCTCACGTGACACTTTCCAGGAGAGCCACCTGGGTTCCGCACCTCCACGGAGTTAGCAGACCCTCCTGTGCACGGCCACATCCTCTGTGCTTCTCAACAACAGAGGACTGAGCACAAAGTACCTGTTCACAGGAGATCCTCACCCAAATGAGGAATTTAGGGGGCAGACTATCTCGTTTATTTTCTCTGCATTCTTGACCCACAGCAGACATTTAATAAATATTTTTATTAAAACAAAGAATGACCAAGTGCACTTGACTGCAGAACATGTGTGTGAATGTCAGCTATTCTTCGGACTTGTTCTTTGTGAAAACTAACAAGCAACGTATACTTGGCCAATTTGTGTTGGTTCATTTACGCCACATGTGCTTATTGCTTAACTAATATTTGAAGGGGTAAAAAGCAAGTAACTCAGTGCAAAAAAGTCAATTCTGCCTTTATTGTGCAAACTGCTCTTGAGATTTTATGAATATAGTTGTCTCTGACAATAAATTCTACACCTGACCAATCTGTTGATATTCAAGCATGATAATTATACTTGAATTAAAGACAAACCAATGCTTGTGTCACTTAGGATTTACTGTCTCCACACTGAAGAAGTATCTTTTAGGATTTGCACAAGCATACAAAAATTCAGTGTCAAAAATTCAAAACTCACTGGGTAAAAGTCTCTCACTGCCATACTGTGACAAATATACATTCTCCCAAATGTTAGGTTTTATCTAATTCTAAAATAAAACCAAGTAGGATCCAAAGACACAAAGAGAAAAGTATATTAAAGCACTCTCCTATACCTGTTGATAGAAGAAATTCAGAGTTGGCTTGTCTTCAGTAAACTGGTTTAGAAATCCTTTTGGCAAATAACGAATTCTCAATTCATATCTAAAAAATAATTCACAAAATAGAACAATTAGAAATAAGTAATTTTCTCAATTCATAATCTACAATTAACAGCATTACTGTGAGTATACCATAACCAATTACTCTGAAATGTTATTTTAAAAATAAGCTAAAAGACAATCAATTTTTAAGCATTAATTTTCAAACTTTTCAGCACAAAGACTGCACCTCAATGTCTAGAGCTCAATGATCCTGCAAGGACACAGAGCAGGGAAGAAGCCCAGAAGGCACCCGGTCCTAGCAGTCACTGTCCACCACGGGGCAGGGGAAGCACCTCCCCACACTTCCCCCAACAGCTGACCTGATGCGCATGGAATCACACAGAACGTACTCTTTCGTGTCTGGCCTTTGTTCATTCACTGGCATTCTTGTGAGACTCACCCAATCTAGCAGCTGACAGTCGCTCATAGCTGGAAAGTGCTGTATTGCGTGAAATACCACATCACTGCTAAGGGTCATTTGAGTTATTCCTGCTTTTTTTGGCTATTATGAGGATACTGCTGTAAACACTCTTTATTTCTTCCTCTAAGAATAAAATAATTTAATTGTTCAGGAAGCCACGCTTCAAGAGTGGTTGAAACAAATTTCATCAGAATGCTCTCCCCATCTCTCTCTCTCTCTCTCTCTCTCATGCATGTCCTTTGGTGAACGTGTGTACGCACTCCTGTTGGGCACATGGGCTTGGACTGGGAGTATAACACACACACACCTGCGTTTACAGATGCCACCCGTCAGGGAGCTGAAGAAGCCATACCAGCATGGGGTGTTCTGGATCCTCTCCACCCCCACCTCTGCCCAGCATTTCTCTTTCATTGCACTCACTGATATTTACCGCGATAAGTGTAGAGTGGGCTGGGAGCAGCCTCATCTGATGACTGGCCATTTTGGAAATCTCCTCTTGTGAAACATCTGTTTTTTTCTGAAGGGTTGTGGGTCCCCCCTCCCTAACCCCCAGCTGACCTGTAGGCCTGCCTGCCTTACATGTTCAGGGTGTGAGGCCATTGTGACACTCCTATCCTCTACCACTCCAAGGCTTGTCTTTCACTTTCTGGATGGTTTCTTGTAAAAATTATTTTAAAAATCTTTTTATTTTAATGTTATCTTTTGAGGAAGAAAGTTCATAATTTTTATGCAGCCCTATTTATTCTTTTCCTTTTTAGGAAATTCTTGTAGTGTTTTGTTTATAAAATGTTTGCCTACCCAAAGGTTACAGGAAGATCTATTTTTTCTAAGGTTTTATTTACTGATGTTTAAAAAAAATGCAATAGTCTCATAAGGAAAACATGCAAACAAAGTAGTAAATACAATTCTTTTGGTTCACTTAAGGGTGGAAAAAAAATGCAAGGTACACATACACAAGTTCTGCTAAGATTTTTAAGTGTCCATCATCATTAAAACACACAACCGCCAAATGATTAGGTTCCCTTCTGCTTCTCCTCAGAACGAGGTCAACAATTCCCTGCAGGTATTCTATGTGGGGCGGTCATTTGTGGAAGCACATTAGAGTTCATTTATTTTGAACTGAGGACTTACCAGGCACTTTACATGCACTGTTTCTCCTAAGCCACATAACCGTCAGAGAACAGACGTGGAGTGAGTCACAGTGAACAGATTAGGAAGACGGTGCTCTGCAAGAAGCAGCAATCGGTCCCGAGGCTGCACGTTCGGGATCAAACAGGACACAGGAGGCTTTTGCTAGGAATGTTATCGCATTTAACGATAAGGAAACAGACTCTGGATCAAACACTGGGCCCTGCTGTGACCAGCCAGCAGCCTGACGATGCTGACGATGCCTCAACGGACACTTCATGGCTACTCTGGGCCTGACTGATGGTGATAAGGACGTGACCCTCAGCCTCCTTGTGGTCAGCAACAGCCCTGACCGAAGCAGGAAGAACGTGGGCGCTGGACCGGGGCCGCCTGGGCTGGGCCTGTGGCTCTGTGGCCCATCCACGGTCTGCCATCACCGCTCTGCGCCTTGGTGTCTTCACAAGGTTGTCGGGAGAAATAAATGAGCTAGTGAGCGCAGAACACCGAGCACACTCCGTGGCACACAGTGATCGTGGGCTTCATGGCTTGCTTATGACATGAGCAGTTACTCCACAAATACTGATTCCAGCACCCAGACCAGCCAAGGTACAACCCCAGGGGGTGGGAAGACACCAGGGAATAAAACAGGCAAAGTGCCGACCCTCGAAAAGTTTATATACAATTTGTGGTGAAAGTCAGACAGCAAGTACACAAATATCTATGAGGTGGCAGTAAATGCGACAAAGACAAATTAGCAAGGTAAGGGGAGTCACAGGGGATGAACTATATTCTGCACAGGGTAGCCGGCAGAGGACACTCTGATTCAGTGACAGCTGAATGAAGATCTGAGGGGAGGAAAGGAGTCATTCAGTCATGTGCAAGGACAAGAGTTCCGATCTGATGGAAGAGAACGGGTGACGGCCCTGAGGCTAGAGAATGCACGGGAAGGCAAAGGCCGCTCGAGCCCACGGGAAGGCTGCAGGGCGAGGTAGGATCGGGAGGTGGCAGATCACGGAGGCCCCTGCCTGTCATGATGATGGGGCTCAGAGCACTGTGAGCACAGCAGGGTCGTCGCAGGAGGTACATTCCTCAGAGCAGGCAGGCGATAGTGTGTAGCACAACAGGGACCAGGGGAAGCAGCAGGAGGCCCCGGCTGAGAAGTGATGACCCTGTTTTCACTGAGGGTAAAATGTTTCAGGGCATTACTGGGTAAGTGGCTCAAGGTCCCACAGGTGTCACGAGACAGACGCCCCCCCCGCCCCCCCGCAGCAATTACATGCACTGATGCTGCGGAGCAAAACGAAACCGAGAGAGGGCCCTGCGGCTCGAAACCAGAGGACAGAACTGATCTGACTCCTGTGCAGGTAGGCAAGCTCTTCAGACCGTGAGGAGGATTCTGGCCCCCGCTTCAATCCGCAGTCTAGCCTATCTGCCCCCCACAGCCCGGCTGAACTGCCCAAGGTTGCCTGGTCTAACCGCATTCCAACACGCCGGCTCAGTCCTTAAACCACGGCACCCAACCCCCACAGCCCACGGCCCACGAGTGCTGACACTCCCATGCCCCTCTCATCTCTGTCCCTGAAACTTAGTGCTCTCCTCACCCTTCTGTTACTATGTTACTATTCCAAGAGCCTGACGACATCCTGAAACACATTCCCACTATTCTGCTATATGCCATTCCATGGATTTCCGAACAGCAGCTAAATATAACATGCCCCAAATAAATAATCCTTTTGCTTCTTCTGAGTAATAACTTCCTATTAAGGCCACTGACACTAACCTCCTCAGTCTCACCATCCACAATGAGCACCAAGATACCCATGAGCTAACCAACTAATGGCGGGGAGGAGTAGGAAGTGTTTGGACAAAAAATCTGTTAACCTTGCTACACAGAAGGGTCAGCTGGCCAGTCTGCATGTAGCTAAACAAAGTACAACTTCCAGAAACAACACAGATGTCGTTTCTTGATGGGCCTTGCAAATAATGTGGTATGGACAGCTCTTTCTCACAACAGACTTCCATTTAAAAATCCTCAAAAGAAGGATGGAAACAGAAATTCATCATTAGGCAAAAATTATTAGCAGTAACAGCTGTAAGAAAGAATCATCAATGGTAATGAGACTAATGGGTGAGAATACAATGAGAAACAGGCTATCTGCATAGTCTCAATATATATCCCCCCAGCAGGTATTTCTTAATTACAAAGGAGAAAACAGTTAACTCTACAGTGGAGAAAGCTGGCCACCACCTTAAACCAAATGATCCAAGTTAAAAACACCTGTATGAAAGAGTCACCTCATCATTACAGACTTCCTGATAAGATGCGCTGTGACGGGTTCAACAGCCTGGCTGTAGTATTCTTGCCAACAACACATAACCTCAATATAACCATGAAAAAAACCCAGACCAACCCAAATTGAAGGACACGTTACAAATACCCAGCCAGGATTCTTCAGAAGTGTCAAGGTCATGAAGGACATAGACTGAGGAACTGTCCCAGATTAGGGAAGACTTAAGGAGACAGTAAACAGTCACGTGGTATCCTGGACCAGGAAAGGGATGTTAAGTGGGACAACTGCAGATATTTGAGTAACATCTGTAAATGAGTTAATAGTACTGTATCAATGTTAAGTTCCTGGTTTCAATTACTGTACTATGTTTATGAAAGTTTCAGCATTTTAGGGAAGCTAGGTGAAGGGAGCTCAGGACTTCTGTGTACTATTCTGGCAACTTTTGATACATATTGAGAATAAAAAGAAATTCGCAGACCGACTGTTCCGTAACACCCTCCAGAACCGCTCTCCAACCAGCCCGGCCAGAGTCCGTCTGCAGCCGCAGACCCACCGGAAACTGACAGAAACTGAACGATCTTCCTGCTGCTCACGTCGGGTGCAGAAGCCTCCAGTAAATGCTTAATTAACAGACCAGCAAACTGAGAGCCCATCCTCATTTTAAAGCATCATTTCCAAATCCGTCTGAGTGCTCTCCTCCCGGAGAGGCTCTGGAGGGTTTCCCTCTGGTCCTTTACTTATATGAGCCATACTGTCTTACTCAACTGATGTGTTCCCAACAATATTCTTCTAGGTTCTTTTTTTTCTTCACTTTATAAAAGCTTATCATGCTAAACGCCATCTTCTGGGACTTACTTTTTTTTTTGAGGTAAAATTCACGTAACAAAAAAAAAAATAGCCTTTTTATAAAGTGTACAGTTCAGTGGTACTGAGTGTACTCACAATACTGTCCTGGGAGACTCATTTTGCCATGAGGTCACGTGGCTGCGATTCATCCATACTGCCATCCCCGTGCCTACCGTTGGTTCATTTTCCCTTGCATGACAACCTTGCATCTCTAGCCCCAAACAGAAACCTCAGAGTCTCTCAAGGACAGAATCTGAAGTGGAACCGCAGGACCTAGATAGAGTGTGTGTAATGCCTCGGTTTTCCAGCTGCTCA